GACGACAGTGGCCGCGGGGACTTGCCAGAAAGCCCTTCGCGATGAGTCGACATCATGCTCTCTAGTGCCAGTACCGCAAAAATGAGATGGCTGCAGAGCAGCGACCTTCACAATGCTGTGCGCCAGCAGCAGGGAGATCGGAAAGAAGAAGAGGGTTGCTACTAGGACCATGGCGACAAAAAGTTAGGGACATGTCCAGCGCTACTAGAGGGACGTGTGACAACAGGTACCGGTAGTCAACATGTATCTTTGCTCGTCGGGGCAGCCAAAACACTAAGCCAGCTAAGTAGGCTGCTGATGGGGTGGCTGGTCGCTCCGCAACCGAGGATGACGAAGCGTTTGTTTTAGCCAAGGTTTCCATGGTACCACCAGTAATTTTGCCTTCTGTCGACCCTCACCTACCGGTATCTGCTCCAGAAACTAGTACGGTTGTAGACCCAAAAGCTGGCACCCTCTCGCTAGCTATGCATTGAAGCTAACTCATTTGCAGGCTAACAAACTGCAGTGCTGTTCTGCTACTGGTAGGCGTTGGTCCAAGCTTACTTTGATTGCCATAAGCTAAGCATTGCTTATAAACTCTGGTACTGATGGAGACAACCGCATCATTTACAACTTAACTCTTAATGATCAATATCACTGGAACATTTGTCATCTTGAAAACCTTTCAAAGGAACAGAACTCCATCAGCTAAGCTTTGGAGGCATCAGCGATAGATTGAATAGAGGCATTGAGGGTGTTTTCATAATCATCATCGCTCATACCGTACTGGACTCCCTCCATAAGGGCACGGGAGAAGCTAGCAATCATGCCGGACTGTTTGGCAAGAATCTTGTTGGCCTCGTCTCGACAGTATCCACCAGACAAAGCAACAACCCGCACACAGTTGGGATGGTTCATGCATTCCTTGTAGTGGTTTTCAACAGTGGGCAAGCTGAGCTTGAGCATGACCTTTTGGTCTTCGCCGAGTTTATCCAACTGCTCGAGAATGCACGCCATGAGGATTTCTTCGCACTCCTTTTTCTTGGGACTATTAATGTCGACCTCTGGTTCGATAATGGGGAGCAGACCATGGCTGATGATCTGCTTACCCACTTCAAATTGTTGTTCCACAATGGCCTTGATTCCTGCTTCATTGTCCATCTTGATGACACTCCTCATTTTGGTACCAAAGATGCCTCCTTCTTTGGCTCGCTTGAGAAGATCATCGAGGCCCGGCATTGGCTTCATCAACTGGACGCCATTCTCCTCGTCGGCCAGTCCCTTGTCACACTTGAGAAAGGGCACCACGTTCTTGACCTCCCACAAGTACGCAGCTGTGGACTTGCCTTCAACTTGACGGTCCATGGTGTTTTCGAACAAGATTGCTCCCAGCACATAATCTCCATTGAAGCATTTGCTCGTCATGATACGGGAACGCATTTCATGCACTTTCTCGTACATGCTCTCTTCACCTGCAGTGTATTCGGAATCAGGCACCCCGTATGCTGCCAATGCTTTGGGGGTACTACCACCCGATTGATCCAAGGCGGCCAAGAAACCGTCCGCCTTGGACATACGTTCCATTTGCTCTTCGAAGGCTCCCATGTTGTTGGCTTCGACAGAGGAAAGGGCAAACAGTCTCAACAAAATGATTATTGTGAGAAAGGTGCGATCCAGAGTAAAGATTGCTGATGACCCCTTCATCCTACCCACTTCTCTCTGTTCCTTGGCCAGCATTCCGGTACCGTACTACTGCATGGGCCGCAGCCAGTGTTAATTTCGTCTTTGGATTCCTGAACTGCTGCCGTCGTCTTGTCCATCAGCCAATCAGATGCCTCAAAATTCAAATTACACATATTAAATTGCAATTATATTGGATATAAGATCAATTAAATACTACCACTTCAACGTATTAAATCATGACGTAAGCATATAAAATATTCAAATTGTTTTTGCGACAGACGAGATCCCCCCTGGCCATTGGAATCCATTCCAGGTTGTCAAGAATTGAAGTATGCAGAACTGAAAGGTCATCCACAGTACCGGACACGCTACCGTACTCTGAGTAAAGTACAATTGGAAGATCCATTGCTAGCTAGAGGTACCGGTAGCTTGCCTTGCGGGATACATTCGATTCCGCAACCTTCTTGTAGTCTAGATCTCTACTAGAAGGCCTTGTCGCCGGTCTTGGCGGTGTGGCACCGTCGTTTGCCCGTTCTCGGGTTTAGCAGAAAGTGATCGTTTCCCTGCTTGGCGGGTGAGCAACTGCCTCTGTGGAAGGAAGCTCATTAGGATACACACTCGGCTGAATCTGAAGGTGACTGGCCACTTATAGGAATTGAGAAATTGGGCCTGTCCCTGGGAAAGATCTTCATGCCATGGATCTTGCTTCCATGGCAGAGGTGGGCATCTAGTAGTATTTGCTCTTGCTGCCTCTGCTGAAGTTAGCCAGCTGGAAATCCTGAATGGGCAGGAGGCTAAAATGGCTGTGATCGGAGGGCCTATGAATTTACTCGGCCGGTATTTCAAATGATGGCCTCCCCTCACAGCGTTTGACAGCAGGCAACGCAACACAAGTAGAAACGAGCAGGAATACCGCTTGGAGCCCAAAGATGGTGGTCAGGGAAAACGCCACACAGAGACAACGAACTTTTTGAGATCAGCCATGGAAGCTAGTCTACATGTAGCAGCTGGAGACAATTTTCCTACGTGCCGGTTCGGTACTGATAACCGGTACCACCAGCCAATAGACCTTGGCTTGTCTGTGTACTACGATTGATGATGGTCAAGATACATGTAGTCGTCGCTTTCTATCTATGGGTAGCTAGCTAGCAGCTTATCGCAATTAACGTCGTAGGAATACAAGATAATGCTCATCAGTCCAGTTCACACACAATAGACAAGATATCTCTACAGAAAGCTCCCTTCACCCTTCGTTTTCTTGTTTTTCTCTTACAGGATTGATGACAATGAACCCAATCCAATGATCAATACCCAAAAAAGGCAGCCCAACTAGACCGAGACCAACATTAGGACTCGGTCGCTGCCAATCGTAGGGCACAGAGGAGACTGTGTCGTCGCTTCATACGAAGCCACTTGGGCTGCGACCGTTCCACTTCGTCCAAACTAGGAAGACCCGCTGTTGGCAAAGGAAGGGCACGTCGAGTTTGAGGAGTCGCAGGTGTCGGTGGTGCCATTTGGCGGATAAAGTTGGGATTGACCATGGTCACTCCACCGACGGGAGGCGACGTGTAGGGAGCACGTCGAGGAGCTGCCATGGCTCTGTCACGGTGTTCCAAATCAGGCGACGTCGGCAACATGGGAGCACTGGTGAGCAATGTGTTACAGTTCTTGGCCTTTTTGCGTCCTCCTTGCACAGTATGACTGTTTCGTGAAAAAGTGGTAGACGGCAACCGAGGAGTGTTCTTGATAGTAGCCAAGGTGGGGATCATCAGAGGACGGTTGCCATCGACTGGAGTAGAGTGTAGCTGAAGCATTGGTGACTTGCGCTTTTGACTCACTGACCGACGAGCATGTGGAGTGGAAATTGTGACCTTTGTCGTCTCGGGGGTGGTCAAGGACCATGGAATCGTGTTGCCATTGGATGGCATAACAGAATTTAACGCACGAAGCGAGGTTTCCTCGGTTGTTGCCTCCATACTACTATGGCTGGCGCTGGCATTGGAATCTTCAAGAGGAGGTCTCTCCATGTCGAGGAAACTAGTCGTCGAGTATTCCGCCAGGGGTGGCCGATGAGAGAAGGATTGAGCAGCCGAGCGGACATCCCCAATGGACATGCTAGTGACAAAATCCATTAATGTGGCAGAGGTCTCGCTAAGCTCTCGTCGTCGCTGCTTGGTGGCTCTTGGGGCTAGTAAAGGCAATGACAAGGCCATCGGAATGTCATTGTTGTCGACAAAAGCCGAAGGAAAACCCGGTGGACATTCCTTCTCGTGTCCCAAATCTAGACCGTTCAGATGCTCTGTCGTCTGGTCCACAGTGGGGGTGCCATGATTAAACGCTGTCGCACTTGATGGGAACGGTAGCGACGGTGGACTAGCGCGAGGAGTTGAGGCTGTCATGGTCAATGAAACTGAAGCTATGAATGATTTGATTCGATTCCAATTGAACTGTGCACAAGTAAGTTCAAGGCTTCTGGATATATTTTGAATCTATGGATGGTTCTGGTTGTGACGATCCAGATTGGGGCGAAGATGAATGCCAAATGCCAAAACAAGTTGCACCAAGTGCTGCTTCCTTCGTGCCTGGAAAATGCCACTGGCTAGAGGCGAACTTTGTCTCGTTTCAACGAGCATTGTTAGAGGCTGGCCTGGCGGGAAGTGGTGGGACAGCGTGCAAGCACAGTATCTTGCTCTTTGGATGGGCATTTATTAACTGCTGATTTAACCTCCAAACGGCGATGCCAACTCCGAAGTTTCAGGGAAGCCTGTGGGACAGGAACTCTAAGTAGGAAGGGCATCTGGCAAGGTCAAAAAATGCCGTTTGCCTTCTTTTCCACCCTTCCGCTTTCTTTCTGGTCCCTTTGCCGGAATCCCTTTCGAGACTCAACGCTCGGACGCGCGATTACGAGAATGCAGCTGGGAATGCTGGGTGTGTACCGGTACCGGAGGTGCTGGATGGTCGCTAAAGGCTTCTGGCAACCAGGCGGCAGCATTGGTGTAAGGTTCCGCATCGCGCTGTGCGGCATCCCTGCAAGTCTTCTACCTTCTACGAGCAGCATGACATAGTCTAGAGCTACCTGTAGCTAGCAGACGATAATAAGACCTGAATAAGACCCCTTGCCTTGGAGCTTGGAGACTCGGAGTGATGGAGTGAGGGTGTGAGGGTGCCTTGAACCTTGAACCAGCCATTCGAATATATGATGAACCAGCTGGAGTCACGGTTGTGCAATGGTTCCAACGTCCCAAGTTCCAACAGACAAGATACTACAGTACATGTACTAGTAGTATCATTGCCTGGTACTCAGTAAAGCCACCAGCTGCCACCGGTCCTTCGCCAGCACCTCTCTGGCTCCCAGCAGACTTCAAAGCTACGATCTGTACATCTTGCCTCCGCACTCCACTCCAAGGCGGCAAGACTAAGTTTTCGCTGCTCATCTAATTATACCTTATAGAACTTAATCTTTCCGGGGACTTTGTAATTCCTAAGTTAAGATAAGTTTTCGCTGCTCATCAGCGCCCAGACCACGCCATCAGCGGTTGCGGCGTCTGTTCCTCAAAGCAAGTACCAGCAGAGAATGGGAAGCCTTCATCTAAAAGCGACACAGCTGCCGGCCTGAGGAAGGAGGAAGACGTGACCCTCCAACCTCCGACGTTATTCAAAAATCCAACTTGTTGCCCTGTGATTACATGTCATGTGTGGTACAGGTATAGTCTACTGTAAGGAAACATAGGCTGTACTGTGGAAAAGCTCCCAATTGCAAGATGATAGCTAACATGCGGCTCTGGGTTTCCAAAGCGCTACCGTGCACTACCAGCTGCCAGGCTGGCTATGCATAGCCACGGAAGGGTAATAGGGTACTAGTACAAGGTGGGTACACCTCGGATATCCAAATGGGCAGCTAGCCCCCTGGTGGGTGGTGGAATTTCGTCTCCCGGAGACGATTTGCTTTTAGGGGTAAGGGTACCGATGGGGAGTGGAGGTTTGAATTATACCCCGCGTGCATTACTTAGAGGCCTCTGTAGAAGTCTACGTATTCGACTAGTATTGTATTGACGGGATACAGTCAACGCATGTACATGCACATGAAAGTCGCCTTGCGTTCTTCACATTTTTCGCATGAATGAGGGATCCGTTTCGCCGTTCTTCACATTTTTCGCATGAATGAGGGATCCGTTTCGGGGCGAAGCAGAGAAAGGGATGAGCGCGCGGAGCGCGCGAATACTGTTTCAATAAAGGGAGTTAGGTGTTGGTAATAAAAGATTTATGGAAACGGAGACGAGCCAGGAGGCATATGAATGAAGAAAATAGTAACTTTAACCCTAAACTAACGAGTTACAGTCGAGTCACTGTCTCCACTATGACGTGTTTCTTCTGCTGTAGGGTGATGGCGAAGCAAGATGGTGGTTCGGCGGTCTCCTCTTGTTGTTTGTGGTGGAAAGCAACGCTGGGCTTTAGGACCTACCGGGAGCTTTTCTTCAGTCTGACGCATACCTTCTCAACACAATATCAAGCTACACCATCCCTCGGTTCGCCGCTTGATTTGGTGATTTGGTTCCTTCCTAACGGTCCCAGCGGCGTACAAACCACAATCAGCTGACCACAATGGCATTGCGCTTCTGGGTTGCCTTGCACCTGTTGGTAGTACTGTCGGTACAACCACACGCAACTACAGCGTTGCTGCCGAATTCAGGGACGAAGAACAGATTCCAATTGTCGAGTAATGGATCCACAAGGATTCCATTAGCGCTGTGTGCTCAACCACGCAATAACAAGAATTCCCCGAACGGGTCTGATGGTAATGATGATGATGATGATGATGACGATGGGGACGACGAAGAGGAAGTGATGGCCAAAGAAAAGCTATTTCGTGAACTCATGGGTCTCTCCGAGGAAAAGTCCCAAAAGAAGACAGGGAAAAACAAGAACAAAAAAGGAGGTATCAAGAGGCCAGCACACGACAACCGTGATCAGTTACCATTTCTGGTACAAGTCATGACACCACCGGAAGAACCCTACGAACAACTTGCACAGCAACAACAAAGCAAAATCAAGAAGAAGAAAAAGAAAAAAGGAAACAAATTGGTACAGACAGACGTTGTGGGTGAAACACTTGGAGAGTTTCCTTTTGAAAAGAACACAGGTTCCGGCGACAGAATTATGATTGACGATGAGGTTTACGTGGTACAAAAGGCCAAGTGTCAGTACAGATATGCAGGAGGACAAAAGTTTGTCATGGTGCGCAAAATTCTGCAAGTGAAACCCATGGCTCGTTCCATGCAAGAAGACTACATTATGCGACAATGGAACGCTCCATCCGCGCCAGAGTCTGAATAGGATCGTCTGGCTCCAGTTGGTCCCAAACTGTCGTATAGGCTCCTCTTTTGTACACACCATGTAAAACTCCAAGCAGCAAGCTATCAGCTCTTGATTAATAGATCCCAGCCAATGGCACAGTACCGTACGTAGTCGTGTATCTAGCTCTGCTTCCCACAGTTCCCGACCCAGCTCTTCGCCGAGTGAAAGCCCAAGCCGTTCACCTACAGGAGCGCCCAGCGAAGCACAAAGTGCCGGCCCTTCCTCTTCTCCCAGTGCCAGCCCATCTGGACCGCCCAGTGCTGTCCCTAGTTCCGGCCCCAGATCTTCCCCCAGCGCCGCTCCTAGCCTGGGCCCATGGTGATCCACCTATCTCGATGGATGGACAGATCCGCATTCAACAGACAAGTAGATCCCTGTTCATCTCTTGAATGATGAGTACTCGTCAAGACGTCCACAACGGAACTCAGGTCGTCGTAATGGCGTATGAGAAAGTTCACCCATCGGCGCTTGGGGGCCTCCGCCGTGAGCCGGTTTCTTCCGTTGCGGTTCAGGCTTAAAACTCCATGTCGGCCGGAGTTTCCTCATCCCCACCGAGTATCAGCTGTTGAAATGTCACATTGACTCGGATCATTTCGAGAAAGGCCTTGGGATATCCATTCTTTAATATATTCTCGGAAACGATGCGAAGGAATCGGAAGGTTCTGTTGTGTTGTAGGGCCTTGGCCATGCCAGTCTTGTCCCAATCATTGTCCGTTTCGACAGCAGTGCTATCATCTGCCTGTTTGGCAAACAGCTGAAGCGATACATGACGCAACCTGTTGCTACGTTTTCCTAACAACTCTGCCAAAGCGGTACCGCCAGACTGCTCCATGTGGCAAGATTCGATCGAGAGCTCTCGGAGCGTTTGGTTGTCGTGCAGTGCCCGTGCCAAGCACACAATGTGGTGGTCTTTGATTTCGTCCATCCTTTCCAGTTTGAGTATTTTCAACGTTTCCAATCGACACAAATGGTCCAGCCACGAGTGCCTGGCTGGAACAACTGACTGGGGTGATATGTGTATCTGTGTATTGTTGACTGACACCTCTTGAATGTCGTGGCAGCGTGCAACGGCCTCCATGAGGGGCTCGAGAGATCCTCCAAGGTTGGACGAAGCACAACGATTTTTCAAGACGAATCGCCTTATTTTTGATTGATGCAGCAATTGGGTAGCCAACTGGTGCAAATCATCAGCAGAAGACCCTTCCAATGCGACGTCATGAATCCGAATCCAAATTCTTCATGTTGGCAAGACACACACTCGCAGTCCTTGACAAGACACTTTTGTCCCTGTGAACCGAAGATACCGCAAGGAAGGAAGTTCCTGGGATAGATGTTCCAATACCGCCACCATCTCACTGTCGCTCCTGTGCCGAATATATGTCCCGACCATCGTTGAGCCGCATGGCTGGAAGTTGGAAGTTCAAAGCTCATCGTATGGTCTGGTAGATTGAATCTTTGCCTTGGCATCGCGAGACATCCTCAAAAGACCAAACCATCGTAGCGTTGACCGAGTGTCGCGTCGAAGGGCTACATCCAGGTGGGTATCCGTTATGATACTATGCTAAACTACAACTTAAAAGTTGGCGGAAGCTAGTTCCGCGTTGTCCATTCTCGCAAAAGATCTTTCCTTTGGCCTTTGGCTGCTGTGGCAACTCAGTCATGTTTCTGGATGGATCTTTCAGGGGCTCGAGGCGAGGGCACTCCTGAGAAATCGTCGAAGCTTCCCCGAGCATTTAGTTAGAAAGTGAAAAATGTGAAGCCAAATTTTTTGGCCGTTTTGATTCTTGTTGGGTTGCCAATGCGGAAGAGGAAGAACTTGAAGAGAAGAGGAACATGAAGCAGAGTGAAAGTGTTTTCGCAGCTTCCTTATAATAGATATCCAGGAACCTCACAAACAAACAGAACGGAACTCAGACTTTGGTGGAATCATCGAATCAATCGGAAACCATGGCCCAATACGACGCACAATCCCAGTTCAGTTTGCAACTCATTGCCACCGTATCCACAAACGACGAAGAAGAGCCATCATCCGCTTGGAATACAATAGAAGAGAAACAACAAGATGACGACACACAGATTGATCCAGCATCGCTGTGTTGGAATCTAAAGGATACACTCTTCATTACAACCAAACAATGCGAACAAACGCACATGGAATACGCAAGAGCAGGATTTGAAATGAAGTCCTTTGAACGGTTCAAACGAATGGCTTCTGCATTGGTCGTCGAAAAGGAGGTGGAAATGGCCCGCAGCATGACCCTGGGAAATGAAGAGGATGTCATTATGGAAGATAGCATTGAATGCGTTCCCAAGACGTTCCTGCAAGACATCTTGTCCGAGACGTCGGGTCTGTCCGATGAAGAAAAGATGGACAACGATGCTCTTCGCGTCCTGTCTGTAGGGGAGTTGCTCAGTCTGTTGGAAGTGTGACCAGGCAGACAGTCATGTATCTTTGCTCAGCCTTATGAAAGTGTCAGGTATTCCATACAGTGTTGGGGGCGCTGGTACTGGCCCTCTTGGTGTATCGATTCGATTGTATCATTCAATTCACCCCCCGCGGCGCAGATCCCGTTATCACGGCGCGATGATACTGGTCATCTCACTACAACTCATATATTTTATACAACATCATAGAACTAGGTAGACTTCGCAGCAAATGAGAGTACTTATTAAAAATATCCAGGCTTTGTCTACACTCAACTCAACATCCCTTCATCCCTTTTCAAAGCTACAACCGCCGCAATCTGCCCGGAAGGAATGCCATCCAATTCCTGTTGAAAAGAACTTCAATGGAGGTGGTTAGTCTACGCCCTGGATCTGAATCCATAAGAGCAACTTGCATTTCATGAACCAACTACATGATACAACATCCCTGGTTTCCCAGTTCCTCTGTGCATGTGGCTCCACACCAGCATCTGTTCTGGCTGCTAACCCAGCTCAAGTGGCCACTCGATTGCTGTACCGGCACCTGGTACACCCCTGCCCACATCCAACTACATATAGCTACCGGTAGCTACAGTGTAGCAAGGTCTCCAAGCAACTGCTTTTCCTCGGGTGCTGGACTAGCTACCGTAGTGAAGCTGCAACCACCAATAATTATCGCATTATTATTGCTATTACCCTGCAGCCCAGGCAGCCCTATCTCAAGGCAGAGTCTCAAGGCAAAGATCGTGCAACCAAGGTACTGACCATGATTGCACTTCCAACGCAAAGGCAAAGCAACTTTCTCGCTTTGCTTCCTTATCTGTTCACATTCAGATGTTTGGCTCTTCCCTTGGAGGTTCCAGTGGTCTCTCGACAACACTTCTTGCTCGCTTCTTCTGCACCTTGGTTTCCTTCCATCACCCGTTCAACTACAGGCACTATCGAGCTTCCCCTGATATTTTTGCCCAACGGTGGCTGTCTTGCAGTCAAGATTTCCTTCAATGACAGGAATAATGAGCGACGCCTGCTTGTGTACTCGGCAATTGTTGACACGGGGTCCCCCTTCCTGACAGCTCCCTCTGCGACCGAAAGATACTCCCGTGACGCCTCTCGGAGGTATCCTCCCACTCAGGAGCAGTATGGAGAAGCTGTGGGTAGTATGCAATGGAGATCTGCTTCCAATGTGGAATTCCCAACCCAAGACTTTGAACATCCTCTACTCATGGACAAAACGATCTTCGGTATTCCCAATGCCAATGTTGTGGATGACACTGGAGGCATTTTCTGTGGGCTCATTCTGCAGGACGACAAGAGACCAACCGTGCTACATCAGTGGGGATATTCTTCCTTTATACTGGATTATTCCAACAAGATACTGACGCTGTCTCAACAAAATGTCATTGATCAACATGACGGTGAAGCTCTGCAACTCTTTGACTTTGCTCCCTACGGAGAGAACATTCATCACTATGGTGTTTTATGCCCTTCTTTTGCCTTGGTGATGTCATCAACGGCAAATCAGAAGGAAAGAGAAATGACAGTTTCTATTTTGCAACGCCCTGTGGTGGCGGTCATTGATAGTGGCTTGACTGGATGTGTCTTTTCAGACTCCTTGCAAAATGAGCTACTTTCCAGTGGCAAGCTGCAGTCCCTGGACGATGTATCAGGTCTTTCCGTCACTCTTCCCCAACAATCAGGGACGCCACTGACTCTCTCTAGCAATCAACAGTATTGGTTTTTGACGTCGTTCAAGCTCCCTTGGTTCCAGGATGATGACAGACATCCTCATGTGATTGCTCTGGGAGCTACGTTTCTCACTTTTCCAAGCGGGACCGAAACCAAGTGGAGCCCCGCCACTGGATCTGTCACTACAAAACACAGATTACTAACCAAACCAACAAAAGCATAAACTAACATCATCTCTGTATCAAGCTCAT